CCCCAAAACCCCAAAACCCCAAAACCCCAAAACCCCTTTTTCTCTTCTTAAAATTGATTTCACATCTCGAGAATATCCTCCTATTAATGTTCTTCATTAGTCTTTGGTGCATTCTTCTGTTCTAATTTTTCGTCAACCTCAACCATAGCTTTACTCTTTTGAGACCAGAATTTTAGAGCATGTTTCTCTCTCTCATCAAGGTTGCCTTGTCCCCAATTTCCTCCAAAGATGTCTTTATACTCCTTATCTGGGAAGTTGACTGTATCGTGCCTGTGTGGGTGTCTCACCACAGTTGGATTGTATCTATCATCAAACCAGTATGAGTCAGCTCTCAACTTTTCACTAGTACCGTAAGACCAGTCCTTTAACTGAAGATCTGAAACACTTCTTCCCTTGTTAAAATCTGAGATAGTCATAGCTCTTCTGTAGGTCTGATTATCAATAGACTTGGCTCTCAAATACCACTTCTTCTGTTCCCTCATGGCCTCCAAGATGTGGTCAGGACACACTTCCATGATTGAAATTTTCTGGTTGAAGCATTCGCCCTTCTCGTTGTTCTCCTTGCAGTGGTGGTACTTCCTGATCTCTCTGACACATCCTCTGGGGAAGTTTTCTCTGACAAAAGTCAGCCCCTTGGGGTTTCTGGCAGTTGGGTCCATGAAGCCTCCTTGCTTGAATCCGAGGGACTTGTTCTTTCTGTCTGGGTACCACTCGTCATGTGACTGGTAGTGTCTGTGGTACTTGTTGAAGGAATAGTCGAGATTTCCGTAGAGCCAACTATGTTGAGGTATTTCTCCGAAGAAGGTGGGCAATTCACTTAATCTTTCAGGCTGATAATCGAAATAAGTCCTGAGTGGGTTTAACTTCTTATAAGCACTGGAGTGAATGATCTTGTTAGCAAAATCATAATGAGGCTTCTGCTTATAATACTCAGGATGGATGTTTGAGTAGAAAATACTATCCATATTTATTATAATATAATTATAATATTTTCATTATTACAAACTTATGATGGGGTTTTGGGGTTTTGGGGTTTTGGGGTTTTGGGGTTTTGGGGTTTTGGGGTTTTGGGG